GTCAATTCAAAGTCCTCACTGTATTCCATCCATCTACTTATCAGTCAGATGTGACTCTCACTCCATTCTCTTGGAAATGCTTTCTTCACTTGGTTCCAGGCCACCTGATTTCTTCCCCCCTCCCTGGCTGATGCTGTCAGTCTCCTTTGGGATTCCTCCTCTTCTCCTGCCTCTTAAATGTTGGAGCATCCTGGGGTTTTGTTTTTGGACCTCTTCTTTATCTACACCCTGTCTTCCTGTGATGCCACCCACTCTAAAATACCAGGAACATGCTCGTAGTCCCTGTGTTTCTACCTCCATCCTGGACGTCTCCCTTTGAACTGCAGGCCTGAATACCTAATGGTTTTCTTGACGTCTCTATGCTTATGATATACAATACTGACTCCTGGTCTTTCTCCCAAATACCTCCCCATCTCAGTAAAGCTGAGAGCATCCCTCTAGTTGCTTAAGCCCACAGCCCACTCCGTACTGCTCACTTTCTCTCACTACTCACTTCCAGAGGACTTCTAATGGCCATTAATTCTTTAGGACATTATACCAGAACTTGGCCCCTTCTTCCACCCCTGGAGCTGCTACCCCGAATCAAGCCATCCTCACCTCTCATTGGGATTATTTTATAGCCTCCTATCTGCTCTGTCTGCCCCCATCATCACTCTCTAGAGTTGAGGGTAATTGGTTGAGCACAAGAGTCTGAACATTATACCAGAACTTGGCCCCTTCTTCCACCCCTGGTGCTGCTACCCCGAATCGAGCCATGCTCACCTCTCATTGGATTATTTCACAGCCTCATACCTGCTCTGTCTGCCCTCATACTCACTCTCTAGAGTTGACGGTAATTGGTTGAGCACAAGAGTCTGGTCATGTCACTCCTCTGCTCAAAACCTGCCAGTGATTCCACATTTCATGCAGGAAAAGTCCGGGTTCTGGCAACGCCTGCAAGGCTCACATGAGTTGACCCTCCGCTACTTCTACTCTCCTCTCTCTCTCTCATGCACATATATGAACTCACTTCATGGTGGCCACGCTGGCCTCTTGCAATTCCTTGAACACTCCAGGTATGTTCTCACCTCAGGACATTTGCACTTGCTGTTTCCTGTGCCTAGATCACTCTTCCTCTAGACGTCTGTGTGATTCACACACTCACTTCCTTCATGTCTTTGCTCAAATGTCAAATTCTTGTTCAAGCTTTCACTGATCTCTCCCCTCATTACTCATCTCTCTTAGCTTGCTTCTTTTTCTCCATAGTTTTTATCACTATCTTACAAGCTAAATAACTTACTTTACTTCATAAGGACTAGGAGGTTTTGTCTGTTTTGTTCACTGATGTGTTCCTTGTACCTAGAATAGTACATGGCACATAGTAGGTGCTCAATAAATACTTCTTGAGTGAATGAATGCTCTATAGGCCCAGCATTTCCCAGGGGCAGTTCTCAAGATGCCCTCATACTCACTCTCTAGAGTTGACGGTAATTGGTTGAGCACAAGAGTCTGGTCATGTCACTCCTCTGCTCAAAACCTGCCAGTGATTCCACATTTCATGCAGGAAAAGTCCGGGTTCTGGCTAGGCCTGCAAGGCCCACATGAGTTGACCCTCCACTACTTCTACACTTCTACTCTCATCTCTCTCTCTCTCTCTCTCATATATGAACTCACTTCATGGTGGCCACACTGGCCTCTTGCAATTCCTTGAACCACTCCAGGTATGTTCTCACCTCAGGACCTTTGCACTTGCTGTTTCCTGTGCCTAGATCACTCTTCCTCTAGACGTCTGTGTGATTCACACATTCACTTCCTTCATGTCTTTGCTCAAATGTCAAATTCTTGTTCAAGCTTTCATTGATCTCTCCCCTCATTACTCTCTTAGCTTGCTTCTTTTTTCACCATAGTTCTTATCACTGTCTTACAAGCTAAATAACTTACTTTACTTCATATGGACTGGAAGGTTTTGTCTGCTTTGTTCACTGATGTGTCCCTTGTACCTAGAATAGTACATGGCACATAGTAGGGGCTCAACAAATACTTGTTGAGTGAATGAATGCTCTATAGGCCCAGCATTTCCCAGGGGCAGTTCTCAAGATTACCATTTAGAGTAAGGGAGGTGGAAGCCTCTCTGAACTCAGGCCACAGTTACATCGTGTCTGTCAACATATTCCAAAAGCCGGTGATTTGGGGTTACTGGGAACTCAGTGGCCAGATATAAAGCTTTCTATCTTCATCCGGTTCCTTATCATCCCCCCAATTATCAGTTAAAATGGAGAGAATGATTGGCGTGATTAGCAGCCCCAAATTTCCAGCAAGGCCCAGCCACTAATCTGCTTGACGTTTGGCACTGAAATAGGTGACGCGTGGACTTGGCCATCATGTTGATAATACTATGGCCTCTTGCAATTCCTTGAACACTCCAGGTATGTTCTCACCTCAGGACATTTGCACTTGCTGTTTCCTGTGCCTAGATCACTCTTCCTCTAGACGTCTGTGTGATTCACACATTCACTTCCTTCATGTCTTTGCTCAAATGTCAAATTCTTGTTCAAGCTTTCATTGATCTCTCCCCTCATTACTCTCTTAGCTTGCTTCTTTTTTCACCATAGTTCTTATCACTGTCTTACAAGCTAAATAACTTACTTTACTTCATATGGACTGGAAGGTTTTGTCTGCTTTGTTCACTGATGTGTCCCTTGTACCTAGAATAGTACATGGCACATAGTAGGGGCTCAACAAATACTTGTTGAGTGAATGAATGCTCTATAGGCCCATCATTTCCCGGGGGCAGTTCTCAAGGTTACCATTTAGAGTAAGGGAGGTGGAATCTCTGAAGAACTCAGGCCACAGTTACATCGTGTCTGTCAACATATTCCAAAAGCCGGTGATTTGGGGTTACTGGGAACTCAGTGGCCAGATATAAAGCTTTCTATCTTCATCCGGTTCCTTATCATCCCCCCAATTATCAGTTAAAATGGAGAGAATGATTGGCGTGATTAGCAGCCCCAAATTTCCAGCAAGGCCCAGCCACTAATCTGCTTGACGTTTGGCACTGAAATAGGTGACGCGTGGACTTGGCCATCATGTTGATAATACTAACCCAGGTGTCCCTTCCTCACGAGTGGGTGTATGTTCGCAGCTTTGCACGTAGTTTCCAGGGATTCTAGACCAGCAGGGGCTACTCCTTTATATGGAGGGTCTAATGGTGCAGCATTTTTAATGAAAGATCTTGGGTGGTTATAATTATGGGGGGATATTTTTCCTAGTTTTTTAAGGAGGGATTTTTAGAATGTGCAAGTTGGGTAGGCTAATGTACAGTGAGCAAACTGGGAAAACTGATGAAGTGGATGGATGGCATGATAAGGAGGAAAATTCTGGAGGGGGCAAGAGAAAGAGGAAGATCTTTGAGGGATGATTGAAGCCCTGAGAAGCGAGAATGAAGGAGCTCAAAGGAGAGTGGCCATCAGACCTGCTGTAGTTCAGCCTCCCTTGGGATGAGCTGCTTTGATCTGTCAGTGAATGCCGGGTAGACACCACCGGTAGGAACTTTCCCTGCCCCCTACCTCCACTCAGGGCTGCAGCTAAGGTCAGAAAGTCAGTTCACACGTTGCCTCAAAGTGCACAGGTAGAGAGAGAAGGATGCTAAGAAGTTTTCAGATTTGTATTTAATCCTCCCAACAGCTCTCTGAGATAAGTACCATTATTCCCATTTTGTGAAGGAGGAAATGGAGTCACAGAGAAGGCAGTAATTAGCCCATGAACTCAAAGCGGGGCTGTGAGCATCAGAGGTGAGCTTCCGGTCCCAGCTATCTAACTTCAGAGCCGAGGACTGTGACCACTGGGTGCACAGCTGAACCACATGGCCAGATGCACAGAGTTGACGACTGTAACCACTGGGCAGCATGGCCGAACCACACGGCCGGGCACAGTGACAGCTGTCTGCGATCGGCCATCAGCAGCACTGGAAGCCTCATCCTGGAGGCATCAGGGTGAAGAGAAGCATCTAGAGCAGCAGCAGTGATGACATGACCGCAGTGGAGCGCAATAGAGCTTTTCCAGAAAACACAGAGACCAGGCCATGCCAAGGGGAGTAAGGAGAGGGCGAGCAGCGGGATGAAAGGAAACCAGGGAGAGAGCGCAGTGCGCATGGACGCGTGCCTCAGGCACAGTGTTCGACAAGGAGCAGTTCCTGGGGACAGGATCTGTGAAATGGGCGTGTGGCAGTGCCCGGGCTCTCCATGGCGCACCGCACAGGCATCAGGAGCAGTGGGACACTCTGGGAATGGACGGAGGCTGACCAGGCGCAGGACGCTGGCCGGCTCCCGGGGGAGAGACTGGCCAATAGCACACAGGAATGGACCATTTACAATGGGAAAGCTGTGAAAGAATTAACTTAGTGGTTTGAATTATTTTGAATGAATATCCTTTTATTTGAAAACTTCACTGTTTACTCTAATAGGAATTGAGACATTGTCGCATGTTCTCTGAACCACACCCGGGGAAAGGTAAAGTGCAGTGTTTTTGTCTTTAGCTTGAAACGAGTAGCCTGTATTTAAAACTTACATAGTTATTTACCAATTCCCCGAGTTAATATGTCAAGGACCCTAAGCAAGGTAAAGTTGACTTAGTGCGAATGCTTGTGTCTGGGTGACCACTGGGTCCCAGGATGATACAAAGGCGAGGACATCACAGCTACAATGCTACCTGCCCCACCAACACTCCACAGCTGGGCCCACTGACAGCCTGGATAATGCCAAGAAGGGGGCAGGGGGCAGATGGGCTCAGAATCCTCTCCATTCGCACACTCACCTTTCAGGGGGCAGCTGGGGAGGCTCCTCACACCTCCGTGGGCACTGGCTAAATTGTACCTTCCTTCCACCTCTAGCTGGCAAACCTGACTGTGCATAAAACGCCCCACAAGGCTTGTTGAAATATGAGGATTCTGCCCTCCCCTCTTCTGAGTCAGAGCTTAGGTTTGGGGCCCAGGAACTTGTATTTCTAATAAGCGCTCTTTGAGAAATTCCCAGTTAGACTTTTCTTATGACAATTAGGAGTATTTACATCTCATTTTCAATCAAATGTTACTTTGGAAATAAATAGGACATGGCACACACAAGGCAAAGAAGCTGCTGCTTATTATTCTCAAGAACACAATCAAATTACTTCCCCTTTACATCACTGGTAAAGGGACTTATAAATTATGTCCCACAGGGGCAACATGATAAGAGGAAGAGAAGCTTTCTAATAGACGCGCACATTCCTTGGCTGGTGGGTGAAGAGCTGCCTCCACCCCCCCGTCCCCCCCCGCCCCAGCTGTGGGGAGAGGATGTGCTTCCGGGAGAACATGACAGCTACAGCTACTCCAAGTGCCCAAGGGGGTGTGGGCTGGCCCCATCCCAGCCCAGTCTCTCCCTTTACAAAACAGGATGGCAACCCTGGTCCTGTCTCCGTCGGGGGTGGGTTTGGGGTGAGGACCAAGTGCAATCATGTGGAGGGAACAGTGGTGAACTGGCTTTAAACGAGTCACTGTGGGAAGATGTGACCATTTCCCCCCTCTTGTTGGCCTCCCACCTTACCCTGCGGGTCTCAGCAAAGGTGGAACCCATTTCTCTGAAGGGAACTCAATGGTTTGAGAAGATGGCAAACCATGACAGAACACCCGAGGGTTGGCTTTCTAAGGCAGGAGCCGCATCCTTTCAATGAGATGTCGCGTGACATTGTTTCAAACTCCAGGAGGTTCTATCTGTGATGAAGGATTTCTGGGCAGAGCCTTTAACTCAGGCTTTCTGTGGTCGGCTCTGGGGGGATGCTAACCACCTCCAGGGCGTGAGGCCGGGCTAAGTCCCTCGGGTGCGAATTTCCCTGAGTGGACTGGGCCCACGGGCTGCCTAGCCACACCCTCCCAGGTTCACACCCCATCTTCTCTCAAACTCTGTTTTTCTTTTATGTGTATTTTGTTGCATGTGGGAGAGCAATATGGGAGTAGAAAAAAAGGTTTTGGGCCAAATAATGCAGTATGGTTGGAAATGCTTCCCTGTGCAGATTTGGCATAAAAATAAACTTCTCTGGGAGAGGGCTGTTGGTGCTTGTTGTTCATTAATATGCTGAAATGATTTCACACCCCCACCCATTTTGAAGGTTCTCTGAGGCTGATTTCTATTCATTTTTTTTTCTGGGAAGAAGATAAAATGGGTGGTGGCGGGGAGAGGTGTGAGGGGGCAGGAAGTAGAACTTAGGAGAAATACTACTATTCGCGTGGTTCTCTGAGTTACACAGGCTTAGGAGCTCGGATGGCTATGCTTGTGGATTGGTGTCTTCTTGGCAAAAAAGACATTTAGGGAGCGCTTTCTCTTCACGTGCCATCAGCCAGCCTGGAAGTGTAGTTAGCAGATCTGGGTGTACAGGGCAGGTTTGGCCATGGGGACACACTATACAACCACAATACACAATCACCAGTGTAACACACCACACACACACACACACACACACACACACACACACACACACAGTCCTTGGTGTTCCTATAGGATTTCTTTCTCAGGAATTTCTTTTTTAGCATTCTAGGGTAGAGTATATACTTGATGTGGGCACAACTACATAAAAAATCTATGCAAGGTATCCCCAAAAAATGTGTATACATTTTAACAGCCGATAGCTCACTTTTGAAAATGAAATGTTATTTTAATAAACACTGCCTTTATAATTATTCAAAGTGTGTGTGGACATTTTTGGGGACAGCGTATGTATAGTTTTCGTTTTGATTTTACAAGGATCCATTGAATAAAACCAATGTTCTTGATTGGAATGGCATTTACCCAACCCAGATGGAAATTCCACAGGCCAGGGACTGTGTGGCTGTCCCGGTCACCTGCCTCCGAGCCCTGGGAACAGGGCTTCATTAAGTAAATGCCCAACAAATACTAGTGGGGCATTGATTTGGGAAGGGGGGGCTTTGTGGGTTCAGGGCCGGTGGGGGCTGGTACCTGGCTGGGGGTCGGTGTAATCCACAGTGTAGCCATCCAGCTGCAGCAGCTCCTGAGGCTCCGCTTTCTTCTCCCGGTAACTGCACATGGCGAAGGTGTACTGACTGACCTGGAGGAGAGGCAGACGGTGAGGCAGGTCCTGGGAGCCCACCGCCCCAGGAGGCACCTCAGCCTTTAGCACATCCTTCCCCCCATCTCCCCAGGAGACACCTCAGCCTTTATCATGTCCTTTCCCCTGAGGCCCTATGTGCAGGAGCGGGGTTCAGAATAAGTGTTGTCACCCTTGGCTGTGTGGCATGGAACAAGTTACTCAGCCTCTCTGGTTCCCTGTGACCTCATCTGTAGACTGGATGTAATCTGAGAACCTACCTCCTCACTCAATTTGAGGATTGAATGGGTTCACGTGGAATGCACGTAGACTCGGTTACTGACGCTCAGTAACTGCTTAATAACTGCTACCGTCACTGCTGTTATTTTAATTGGGATAAGCCACACGAAATTGCCATTTTTGCAGGTTAAATAGTGGCAATTGACTGTGGCCCTAGCCGAGACTGCCAAGCTCACATCATAACACAGGCCTTTTGGTCAGAAGTTAGGGATTACACTTTCATTTATTTATGCCCCAACTTTTTAATATGTTTTTTAGTATTTCATCTTTCCAGGCCAATTCTCAGCATCAAGCCTCCCATTTACCCCCCCCTCCCCCCATTCCACTGAAGGAGAGCCTTCGGTTCCTCTGAAAAGTCTTCTGCTCGTCTCGGACAGACGCAGGAGTGACATGCTGTCAGAAGCAATGAGTGTGTCATTGCTGGGAGCCAGTCATGGGGCAGCCACCCTCTCCCACGGCTCGGCCGCTGTCCCGGATGTAGCCCACGCTACCCACACGGGCGGGATGCCAGTGCCGGGTGGGCCTGCGGCTGCAGGCGGCCTTCAGGACCTGTCGCCACTGTGCATCCAGCCCCGGCATGGATACTGCTCTGGCCCATCTGCCAGGAGCCCGCGGGAGAGTGAGCATCCTTCAGGCTTCAGGCTATAGGTTTGTGGCATATTAACCATCCCGATGTCAAATGCCTTGGCGGAAAAGTGCCACCTCCCTCATCTCTTAGTTCCCTTTATTAAAGGAGACATGTTCTAAGTGAACTTTGATGGCTGCTGGGGACATTCTCAGTCTCCTCCATGGTGAAGTTTGTCTCTTTTTTTGAAGGCAAGAGAAATGGGCGCTCTCAAGCCCTGCAGCACCTCCCGCCTAGGAGGCCGAGGATCCCAGTGGGAGATAAAGGGAGCGTGTTTCCCGGCTGCTTTATCTGCTGCTGCCCTCTGTCGGTTTCTGATGAAACCTTTCTGCACGACTTTGTGTCTTTATACTAAAGCATGGAGTTTGCAGAACCTGTTCCTTATATTGCAAGGCCTTGGTGGACTTCAAGGGAAACATACAGCCAGGTCACTGAGTATTTTCATGAGTGGATATGTATTACTCTCCTGATAAGCAGAACACCCAATAGCACCCTCTTCTCTTAAAGTGATATTTTAAAAATTTAAGAGTGCAAGTTTGGTGGTCACCCAGGCCTGCGCCCCACCCCAGCTCTGATAAGCTGTCACCTATCTAAGTCTGAGCCCTCACCTGTATTCTGCCTGTGTCTTATTGGTGCTGGGGGATTCTCTGAGCAGTGGAGGGCTTTATACAGTGTGCGTGACCCTCACAGAGAAAATGCTCAACACATGCATTGATGTAAACAGTTTCCTGGCATTTGGCACTGACATTCTAATATAGAGTTGGCTTAGGGAGTCATATATTTTGGTTTTATTCCCCATACAGTGGGTATTCACTAACTGAGCCTGATTTTTCCTAGGGAGTTGAGTATGTATGATCTAATAAAGAGTACTTCTCCTTCTCCTTCTCATTAACTTACATATAGTATTACTCCAAGCACAGCACCAGGATTTTCCAACCCATTACTGGTCCTATAGGTAGCTGATCCCCTGTGATGTGACCGTAATTACAGATATTGCTGGAACAGCGGACAGGATTTTTACCTGTCTCTGGCAACACCAGATGATACAGTTTGCTAATGTGAGGATTTGCCAAACAAATATAGAGTTGCAGACACTCACTTGAGAACAGAAAAAATCACAACAGAAGAGTGTTATTTCAAGATCATGCATTTACTATTACTATAGGCTCCAGGCTTTTTGATTTTTTCTTGTTTCAGTGTGATTTTTTCTTGTTTCAGTTGCTTGCTTCTTGGAATGCTGTACACTGCTGCCCCCTTCTGGTAATACTGCTGAAGTTGTTCCTGACAACATTTGGGCTAAAATCCCTGGTTTATTAGGACCACTTTAATTTGGGATTTGGCAACTTACTTTAGGAAATCAAGGAAGGGAGAAGAAATGTTTCTCTTTGAATATCTCTACTTATTTCAAGTTTTTGGGGAACCTCAGTTTTTTAAGAGTGCTTGAGGGCGAAGGAATAGCAAAAGTTTGGCAGCTTTTTAATTTTTTTAAAGCATCCACAAGACATCACTAAGTGAAAGCTATTCCCAATGAAATGCATGTTCTTATGTCACAGTAGAATTCTACTTACACTGTATTTTGAAGAAAATTAATGAAATAGTGAGCATCTTTGCAATAATAGCATAGAAGAGCCTAGAACACACGTTGGAAGTCAGAGAGTCAACCAGCCCAGCTTCAGAGCCTGGACCAGAACAAGAGAAAACATAAAGATCTAGTGGCCTCAAAGCCCCAGCAGAATCTGAAAATGCACTCTGGAGAGATGGGCGTAAAGGACTACAATTTTCACAAGTTTGGGACTTTTCAGCTGGAACGCACCTTTTCATGGAGTCCTATACTCCTGAGGGTACAATCTTCCTGCTTTTGCTTTAAAGGTGGCTAAACTTCAGATACGCGAGGAACCCCTTAGCTTATTTCCAAACAATTATTTAAACTAGGAAAAGGTTTGCAATAATGTTTTGTACAGAGTGGACAGGCCACATTCCTAGAGTGTGTGTATCTGGTGGGGGAGGTTATAAATGTGCAGATTCTTTAAGTCAGAACAATTGAAACAGAATCTGGGGTCCGGGAATCTCTATTTTTCATAAGTGACTCAGGTATTTCTGATGCACACGAAAGCTTGAGAACCACTGTTTTAACATGTAGGAACTGTCTTGAAATTCTAAGTTTGCCCCGAGCTTCAATTATATTTAGCAACTAGAGTCCAGATAGGAGGGTTGGTCTTTTCTTATTCCTGACTCTCCCTCTTCTTCCTCCCAGCACCCATGGGAGATTATAGTACTTGGACATACAACTGATGAAATACATTTTGTCTAAATCCCCTGTTCTTGCCTTTACTATCTTTCTTTGAGAATGATCCAGCTGTCATTTTTACTGAACCCTGGTCACTAGCCCTTGTTCAAAGTTCACATACATATATTTTAGAAAAGACTTCTTTCTGTATGGCAGATTCATTCATTCATTCAATTATTTGTTCATTCACCAAATACTTAGGTAGTAAGTGCCTGCTGGGAATATAAAGATATACAACATCAGATGTGGTCCCTGCCCTCATGCCTAGCAGAAAGGTAGACATTAATTATATTAGCTCAGAAATGTGACATTAATGGTGATAAGTATTAAAAAGAGATCTATGGTACTGTAAGAGCTTGGGGATTTGGTGTAGTTGGGTGGTCAGGGAAGGTTTTCATGAGGAAACATTGACAAAACCATCACAGAGCCAAGATCTGAGGATGGAGAACACTTTTATAATGTGAAGCATACAGTTCCTGGGGCCAATGACCATTTTTTAATGTGACATGGTTGTGCATGAAGAACTAGAGAACACTTTTATAATGTGAAGCATACAGTTCCTGGGACCAATGACCATTTTTAATGTGACATGGTTGTGCATGAAGAACCAGAGTCTAAATACCAGACGTGTGTTAGGTTTCACTGGCCACCCAGGAGCCATGGGCTTTGGGCAAGTCATTCAGCCTCAGTTCGTTCTAATATAAAAGGGGGATAAGACACTGAAACGAGGGCCACTGGGTGGAGTAGAGGGAGAGTAGGCTTGGGAGCCATACAGACCTGAATTTGAATCTTAGACCCGTTATTTTCTAGATATGCAGCCCCAGACAGCTCAGTTAACTTCACTGGGACTCAGTTTAATTAACTTTAAATGGAGATGATATTATCTAGGGCATTTCTTAAAGTCTTCCTGCAGAGCATTTATTTTCTTTTGGTAACTGAATCCTAATTTTCCTTGGGGTAACTCCCTCTTCTCCATTTTCAGCCCATATAGTCTGTGTAGGGCCTTTAGCTACAGGTAGGGTAGGTGGGACATAAGGCCCAGGCCTGGCCAATCTGTATCAAATCTCCTTGGCTGCAGTGATTGGTGCAGGGATGGGCACATGACCACTTTGGGCCAATGAAAGCTCAATAGGGGCCTCTGCTGGAACTACTGGGAGTGAAAAGCTTTGTTTCCTCTGGGGATGCTCCACTGTTCTAAGCCTTGACTTTATTCCTGAGTTTATTCCACAGAGAGAGCTTGCTTGAGGGTGAAGCCAGCTCAGAGGAAAGCACAGTCAGGAGATGGTAGATAGAGAGAATGAGTCTTGTTGACTCCATGGAGCCCTGGACCTAGCCAGAAGACCCTTAAATTAATTACTAATTTAATTAACTAACCAGTAGGATTCTTCCCCTTTTAAAACTTGAGCTAGTTTGGGTTGATTTTTATCATTTGCAACCAGAATATAAATATAAATGCCCTCAAGGACAATTGTGAAATTGAGTGGGAAAAAGAAACACTCATTCAACTAACTACTTACATGTCTTACAATTCATTTTCATGGTTAACTTATGTTAATATCATTTCCTGGTGACAACTGCTCTGTTCCAAGGCATTTTACATTATTTGTCAATATTTTATCTCGTTTAGATTTATTAATGTTTCTGAAAGCTAGAACTGTCAGCATGTGTTTTTAAAAACTATTATGTTACCTGTAGAGAATCAGAAACAGGATATGGATTTAGGGACCACATTATCTCGATCTGATGTAAGACAAGTGAGTTCTAGAAATTGTATGCACATGAAATCTCGCTGAGCACCAGTCCCACCTAAGTACTTGGAGTCTTGGAAGGCATTTGGAGCCAGAAGGCATATGTTAGGTTTCATTGGCTGCGTAGGGGCCATGGGCTTTGGGCGAGTCATTCAATCTCCGTTTGCTCTAACGTAAAAGGGGGATCAGACTTGTCCTCACTATAGTACAGAGAGATTGCAAAGACCAACTGGATGACCACCTTGTAAACTTTGAGGACCATGTAAATATAAGCAATAATTAACATTACTAGAGGAACCACAGAATATTATGATTTGTATGGTGCTGAACAGGAGGGTGGGGGGGGGGGGGGATATCTCAGAAATACTTTGGCTGAAGACCAAACAAAAACTGATTTTAACCTGAAATCTTTTGGGCACAGTGGACCAATAATATGGGAGGGGAGACTCGCTACCATGGTGAGAGGGCCTCTTGTCCCTCTTCCTCTGGGGAGTTGTCGCTCTCCAGGCTCTTCTCCACCTTTCCCTTCCCCCTCCCACTATTTCCCTGAATGGCCCTGCCACACACTGAGCTGGAGGAAGTGTATGTGTGTGGTGGGGAAAGAGGGAAGGACCTCAAGGTGAATTGGAAACAGAACTGGCCTTGAAACAGCACATAGTGTACCGGGGAGGCCAGGCAGAGGCCCAGGGAAGTCAGAGAGGCTGCTGGGCCACGTGAGCGCAGTGAGGGGAGAACCACCCATAACTTAGCACTGCTTCCCTGGATGTAGCGTGTCTCTCCATCTACATTGTGCTCTCCTCAGACTGGGCATCAGCTCTTCTTGCCTGCCCAGCATCCATTTCTCCTGGCACTGGCATCCTGATTTTGCACTGGAGACAGCTCCGTGGGCCTATTCATCAAAGTGCCATCGCCTGCCCCTGCTAAAAGTTGGGTGCGTGATCCAAGCTGGACCAACCCAATTCTCTCTCTCTCAGGTTTGGCTTTTGAGTGGAGACTGCAGGACAGAAAATGGTCAGAGCTGACTTTGTCATGACGCTAGCCGTGGTTCCCACGACCTGGATTTCTGGAACTGATTTTGTTTGTAATAAGGACTGGTCTATCAACCTTTTCAGCAATCCCATGGATTACCTCAGTGCCTTCCAATACAGTCTTTAAAAAAAAAATCTTAGTTAGCTTGAGTCTGTTTGTGCTGTTTGCCTATAAAGAACGCTAATAGAGTTCTTCTGGAAGTGAGGGACAGGGCCTCAGAGTCCTTCTCTATGACCTACCAATGAGCCCTATACAAAGTAGGTGCTCAATAGATACCGGTCCATTGGTAGTCCGAGGAAATGTATCTCAAAATAAAATCTCCTTTATTGCTTAGCCATGGATTCTTTTGGAGGTTGGACATCATTCCAAACCTTTCATTTGGCTAATTTACTTTAAGGTTTTGCTGTACCCCATAGCAATATGAAAGCAAAGATCACCTCTTGCTTACAGCCAGAGAAGCATTTTACCTCAGTGGCAGGCACTTGAGTAGATCTGTAGAAGGTCTAGTCTTAGGAGCCCAGGGTTGGTGGAACTTTCAAGGCCCTCATGGTGAGGTTTCAGAACTGAGAGTGATCTAAATACCAGTCAGTGCTTAGAGCCAACACAGTAACCTGATAAACACCTTAGTCACTAAATTAAGGTGGCGCACTTTGTGATGTCATTCAGAGTACAGCAGAAATGAACTTTTCGCAAATTGAATTATAGTTTACATGCTCTGGTGGAGCCTGCAATTAAAAAAGAGGCAATGGCAAATTCCTCTGTAAACTGAAAAATCCTGATGCAAAAAGCAAACAAACAAAAAAAGGAAGGATTTTCAAAGACATGTATTACTATTTCTGGTTATTTTTTTCTTAAATACTCGAGAGCAAAGATACTATTTAAATATTACTAATGTATTACTAGTGTCAATATCTGCATCCATATCTGTACCTGTATACACTGATGTTCTGTGCTGCATGGTTAATAATAGTCCCATTTGGGGAAGCCCAGAAGTCTATCAAAAAGGAAAATTCTAGTTGCTGAGAGAGTAAATCTTAAAATTTCCCATCATAAGAAAAAAAAGGGGGAGATTTACAGGTAATAGAGCCAGAGCTATATGTGCAAACATAGGGAAATGCCTACAATGATTTTTTTAAAGCAATTTGCAGAACAACTTGAAGAGTTTGATTATTTTTGGTTAAAAAAAGTCTATCTGGAAATATACATTCCAAACTGTAAACATTGTTATAAGGGGTCAGTTGAGGCTTCTGGAAGCCCAGGCATCAAGAAGAGTGGAGTGCTCCCCTACAGGTAGTTAACTATCAAACACACTAACAATAAACTAGACCACCAACTTACACCATACACAAAAATAAACTCAGAATGGATAAAGGACTTAAATGTAAGACGGGAAACCATAAAAATCTTAGAAGAAGCCATAAGCAGCGAAATAGCAGACATCTGTCATAGCAATATCTTTACCGATACAGCTCCTA